GACACTATCAATCTAAAGCTAACTTATCCAGAACTTCTAAAAAAGTGTCGAGAGATCAACTTTACCATCTCTGACAGTGAAATTGAGATAATTGAAGAAGAAACAAGAAATCAAGCCAAGGGAAATGCTTTCTTCAAGCACAGAGCTGGGCGCATCRGGGCTTCCATGAGCTGGTCTGTGGCCCATACTAACCCAGCTCAGCCATCTCAGTCATTGATAAAGTCAATTTGTTATCCCCACTTGTTTAAATTTACATCAAAAGCAACTGCCCATGGAATTAAACAAGAGAGTCCTGCAATTGAAGCTTACACTATGGCAATGAAGCAGACCCACAAAGATTTCAAAGTTGAACTCTGTGGTATGATCATTGACAAGGAGCAYCCCTGGCTTCATGCTACCCCAGATTTTTTGCAATCTTGTTCTTGCTGTGGAGATGGTTGTGGCGAAGTGAAGTGCCCCTATGGAATCAATAATTGTGATTTTAAGTCTTWCATGTCTCAGAAAAATTCCTGTCTTGAGGAGAAAAATGACAAAGTTCAGCTTAAGAGAGATCATCCATATTATTATCAAGTTCAGCAACAACTTAACATCACAAAGAAGAAATACTGTGACTTTGTTGTATGTGCTTTTGACAAAGACAACAAAGCAACTTTTTTCCTTGAGAGAATCTCCCCTGATTCCTCTTTGTGGTCATCTCTTCTGCCAAAGCTTAYTAGAGCATGGAAGTTATGCATATTACCAGAAATTACAGSAAGATGGTATACAAGGAAATGTCACATGGCAGCCCTACCTCAAATGAAGAATGATGGAGGAGTCTGCTATTGCCGAAAGAGTRCAGAAGAAGATACTATCACCTGTCATAACCTCCAGTGCCCTTTTGTGAAGTTCCACTGCTCATGCCTAGTAATTAGAAGTCCCATTCCAGCAGTATGGTACTGTCCCAACTGCCGCTTATTGCCCCAATTCAAGAAATCAAAGTCTTCCACTAAGACCGAGACAGATGTAAACAAAGCCCTTGCCTTAGATCATATATGTATTTGCAATTCTGAACCAAAGTCAAATGAAAGGCTCCTYGAGTGTCACAACTTAGACTGTCTGCATGGAAAATTTTTCCATTTAGATTGTATGGGATATAAGAGAATGCCAAACAATGCTAAAACAACATGGATTTGCAACAGATGTAAGAATCCTATTCACAAACCTTCTACAATTAGTAAACCCCCTTCTGTGACAGGTGGCTGTACTAAATCAAATAAAGACAGTTCCGTAGACCTATCAAGTACCAACACTGTAGCTGATAGTGCTTCTACCACATGTACTTCTTCAAGTGACCAAGAGAGTGATGATGAAATTGAAATTGTAAATGTAATACAAGGCAATGCAGACAAAACTGCTCCCCTCGGGAATCTGACACAGGCTGACCTTGACACTATCAAATCACCTGTAGGGTGGTTAACCYGTAGCATAATACAAGTGGCTCACATCTGCTTAAAGCAAGTCAATCCTTTAATAGAAGGATTTCAGASAACAACCCTTGGGCCWGTTAGAAACTTTGATGTAATGTCAAGTGAGTTTGTCCAAATTTTACACACCGGAAATGCACATTGGGTATGTATAAGTTCTGTTGGATGCTTACCAGGGGAAGTAAATTTGTTTGACAGTTTATTTCATGATATTATCGAAGATGAAGTAGAAGAACAAGTCAAAGATTTGATGGCAAGACAGATTTGTTGGAATAAACCATGTACCTGTCCAGCAACAAAGAAATGGAAGCGACTGCGGTGTTTTCGCTATCGCATTTGCAACATGCATTGTTTATAATCGTGATCCCAAGGAAGTGACATTTGATGTGCCTAAAATGCGTCTGCATCTATTTGAATGTCTACAACAAGGAGCAATGAGTCCATTTCCAGAGATATAAATGAACTCCAGGCAATAAAAACTGATATTCAATGTTCATTTCAAAAATTAAACAAAGGAGGTAAAGACATGTTTAAAT